ACAAAGCCACTGTTCTCAAAACAGTCTGGTACTGGCACAAGAACAGACAAATAGATCAATGGAGTAGAATCGAGAACCCAGATATCAACCCAAATCACTATGCTCAATTAATATTTGACAAAGGAGGCACGAATATACAATAGAGTCAAGACAGTCTCTTCAATTAATGGTGTTGGGAAAACAAATACATGCAAAAGAATGAAACTAGATCACCAACTTACACCATACACAAAAATAAATTCAAAATGGATACAGGACTTAAACATCAGACGGGAAACCATAAAAAATCTCAGACATATGCCAAAAGAACTTCTTCATTGATACTGCCCCTAGGGCAATGGAAGCTAAAGAGAAAATAAACAAATGGGACTACATCAAAATAAAAAGCTTTTTTACAGCAAAAGAAACCAACAAAACAAGAAAGCCCACTGTGTGGGAGAACATATTTGCAAATGTTATCACTGATAAAGGTTTAATCTCCAACATATACAAACAGCTTATACAACTAAATAAAGATGAGTGATCCAATTTAAAAATGGGCAATGGACCTAAATAGAATATTCTCAAAAGAAGACAGAAGGAAGGCCAAGAGGCACATGAAAACATGCTCAACGTCACTAATTATCCAAGAGATGCAAATCAAAAACACAATGCGGTACCATCTCACACCTGTCAGAATAGCCAACATCAACAAATCAACAAACAAGTTTTGGCGAGGTTGCAGAGAAAAAGGAACCCTCGCGCACTGCTGGTGGGAATGCAGACTGGTGCAACCACTGTGGAGAACAGTTTGGAGTTTCCTCAAAAAACTGAAAATGGAAAGGAACTCCCATTTGACCCAGTAATCCCACTCCTAGGAATATATCCCAAGAAACTAGAAACACCAATCAGAAAGGATATATGTAACCCTATGTTCATAGCAGCACAATCTACAATAGTTAGAATTTGGAAACAGCCTAGTTGCCTGTCAGCAGATGATTGGATCAAAAAACCATGGTACATCTACACAATGGAATATTATACTGACATAAAAAAGAAGGAATTCTCATCATTTGCAGCAACCTGGATGGAATTGGGGTGGGAGGTATGTATGGGAGGAGGGACAATGTTAATAATGATAATTAAAAAAAAAAAAAAAAAAAAGACCTGGTCCATAGAAAAAGAAATGGACAGCCAGTATGAAATGGAATTGCCAAGGCCTATAACAAAGAATATCCTTAAATGATATTATTATACAATGTCATTAAAATTTTCCCAGATTTTTGTTACCCCAACTACTTATAATAGTACCTCAAACCCTTGGGGATCAATAAAAAATCTTTTTGGTGCTTGGAGACAAAGGTAACACATCTCTTAATATTCTAAAATTACAAAAGCATAGTATACAATTATCCCAAGCAAACTTACAAACCAATTCTTTGAATGTCTGGCAGCAATTTAAAAACAATGAAAGGATTTATTCCCTTCCATTGTGTAGAGTAGGGGTGTCGAACTCAATCAGAGAAGGGGCCAAAATCTAAAATCCAGCCTAAATCGCGGGCCGAATGGTTTACTGAACAGTCATAAACTGTCATTGTGATGGAAACGCAGCGGAGTGCAGTGATGACAGCACGGTGTGGGCCACATTGCAAGGCCTGGCGGGATGGATTTGGCCCGCGGGCCTTGTGTTTGACACATGTGGTGTAGAGGGTCTCGTAGAAAGGCACCCGAGCATTCTATATTGGCCCCTCTTACTCTTTTGGCCAAGAGTGACCCTCTTCTCACAGAATTGCCCACAGCTGCTGCCTGAGCTTTCTGTTCATGTCAAGGTTGGAGCCTTGTGATGACTGATACCATGGATCTGTCTCTTGCCCAGTGGGGCGAGCTGGGCACTCCCTGAAGAAACCTGGCTTCCCCAAGATATGTGATCAGTGCTGGGGCCCCGCCAGCAGGCATGGGAATCCTAAGACAGGAGCTGGACGTGGGGGCAACGGGGGCATAGGATACCAAGGAGAGAGAACTGAACCTCACATCACCGTTTGGCCCCAGAGGATGGCTGGTTAGCCAGAGACGGGAAAGAACTACCTATGACAGGCAGTTAAAGAGGGGCCATCAGGAGAGAACTTGTGGGTCAACTGAGGTGGGGCACAGACCCTCACCCCCAAAACTTTGCAGGGGCCTGAAACCTCAGCCCTGCTGAGGGAGTCTCCTGCCTCCTATGGCTGCTTAACTTCCCATGCCCAGCTCAAATGGGGACCCGGTAACAGAGACTTGGCTGACAGCAGCTGCCCTTGAACTACAACAAGATTTGTTTGTCTTGTAAACAGGGTGTGGGAAAGTGGGTTTTTAATCTCTAAATCCAGCCTACCAACAGGAATGCTCAGGCCTACTCGAGGGCAAATAATCCTTTCCCCTAATATTTACATGGTAAAATAACATTGTTTTAGAGTGATAAATTTCACAGTAAAATAGACAAGTTATCAGGCTAATTTAAATTGGCTAATTGAAATAAGCGAATATCCTAGAAAAACTAGTTGCACTTAACAAAAAGCTGATCCTAAAGTGTTAACTAAAATTTTAATTGGTAGTTCATCTCAGGATAAAATCTCACAACAGGAAATGAACCTAAAGCAGTCATATTATAGTGCAAAAAATTAAAATTTAAAAGCTATCAAGGCTACATTATAAAATTTTCAAAAGCCTCCTAATATTTAAATCAAAAAGGGGGAAAGTAAAATATGTAAGGAAAAATATTCTCAAAGTATCAGGTCTAGTAATAATTAATGTCGTTTTTAAACATTCGTTTAAAATCTTGCTTGGCGTTAACTTGTATTGACATAACCTTCAAACACGTGGTATCTACAGAACGTGTGAAGTGCAATTAACAAGTTTTGCTTGAAAAAGTTTGAGTTTGGTTTGGTTTTTGTTGCAAAACTAGGGCTAAGAAGATGGCAGGTGAAGAGCATATTCGGCACTGCATGCTTTACGAGTTCCAATTAGGAAGAAAAGCAAGTGAGGCTGCAAAAAACATCTGTAGTGCTCTTGGTCAAGATGCAGTTAGCGCCAGAAAATGCCAGCGTTGGTTTGAGAAATTTCGCGAGGGAAATTTTTCATTAGATGACAAGAGTGGTCGAGGCCGTGTGTCCAATTTTGATCAAGCAGCTCTTCAAGCTCTTTTGGTGCAAAATCCTCAAATTACCAACAAGAGCTTGCGACAACTTTAAATTGTTCACAAAAAACAATTTCCAATCAATTGCGTGCACTTGGCAAAGTCCAAAAGTTTGGAAAATGGGTTCCTCATGAGTTGACCAACAACAACCGTAATCAAAGAGTCACAATTTGCAGTTCGCCCCTCTCTCGTCAAAACCGTTTGCCGTTTTTAGAGCAAATTGTTACCGGAGATGAAAAATGGGTGCTGTATGTTAATTTGAAAAGGCGGCCTCAATGGTTGGACAAAAATGAGGCTCCGCAGCCCACGCCAAAACCTGACTTGCATGCGAAAAAAGTGATGTGTGTTTGGTGGAATTTTAAAGGAATTCTTCATTATGAACTTTTACCATCTAACCAAACCATTACAAGTGCAGTGTATAGTGCCCAATTGGAAAGGTTAGCGCAAGCTTTAAGAGAAAAAGAACCCACGCTGATTAATCGGAAGGGCGTAATTCTTCACCACGATAACGCACGACCGCATACTGCAAGAATCACTGCTGAAAAACTGCGCCAGTTGGAATGAGAAGTTCTCCCTCAACCTGCATATTCTCCTGATATTGCCCCTTCCGATTACCATTTGTTTCGTTCTTTGCAAAACTTTCTTCTTGGAAAAAATTTTGATGAAGAATGCCTCAAAAATGCATTGACCGAATTTTTTGCATCAAAATCACAAGAATTTTACAACAGAGGGATTAAAATGCTTCCTGAGCGTTGGGCACAAGTAGTAGAAAACAACAGCAACTATATTGTTGATTAAATTTTGTTGTATTGTTTAAATAAATTAGATTTTTAAAAGTATTAGAAAACGACATTAATTATTACAAGTGTCTCAAGCTCATTCATTGTGAATTCCAAGTGTTAAACAGTGTTTTTACATATATACCAGCACTTCAAATAACCATTATTACCCTTTGAAAGGCGATCCTGCCTTTCCCAGTGCTTGGAATGCAAATTCTCAGTATTTCAACATCCAGTAGAGATGTTAGGGTTCTAAAACTAATTCCCAATATTGTAGAATACTCTTCCACATACATTCCCGTGGTCTGTTATTTTGAGCTCTGAGAGTTTTTATATTTTAATGCAGGTATCATAAGCGTTTTGTGAGGAACATTATTACTACTTTGAACACAAGCCTAGCTACCGTTTTCATTTCTTAGTGCTTTAAATACTTTCATACTGTTATATAGCTCCGTGAAAAGGAATTGTTGAATGTTTCACCAACTTCCCCCCAAAACACCAACTCATTTTGATGGGAAAAATAAATGTAAACAGTACCACACTAAGTTCTCCGCCTTTCAACACGTTTTCCCCATGACAACGTTGTGTTGTTCAGATATTGCATCTGTTTGGACATGTGTTCCTAGTGTACGAAACACATGTCTACATATTTTCTAGCCTGTAGTTTTGAATTCTCAGGGTTACACTCGCATTTGTCCAGTGATTACAACTCTTTTATTGTGAATTCCAAATTGTAATACACCATAACCCCTCCAGGAACCCTAACCCTATCCCTAAACCTAGCACTTTGTGGCTCTTTCAATTTGAGAATGTTGTATGTATAACACACCAGATTTTGAAAACTTAATACTAGAAAATGTGAATTTTTATTACACGTTCATGTTTCCGTTGTATTGGGCTAAATAAATAGTACGTTGAATCGGTTTCTTTTTACTATGTCCATGTCAGTTCTCCAAATGTGCTGGGCAGTGCTGCTCTCAGGAGTCCCGCCTACTTGCTGACTGGCACATGAGGCTCCGCAGACAGCACCATCTTCCTGTAGCCAGCTGAGGGCAGCAGCACCCACTGCGATGCCGGGTTAGTGTGAACATTTATTTAAAAATACACAAAATAGAGATTTTTTACATCAAAGTGTGATAACCTCACTATACATTGTTCCATACTTACCTGATTTTGTCTGCATCCTTATGCAAACATTAATAGGATTTGATTCTAGTATTTGCTACGGTTCATGTAAACAGTTGAGACTGCTACATAAAGTGGGTTGTTTTACAAGGTAAAGTGGCCATAGAAACTTGACAGTAAAACAATTCAATTTGGTTTGTTGGATTAAATTGGCAAAAGTCTTAGCAGATAGATCAAAGACTACATATTGGCTTCTAGGTGTTTTAAATATTAATAACCTTGAGGGTTGTTTTTAATCTTGTAAACATAACTTAGACCTTGTTGGCATTAAGTTTGAAAAGTAGAATATTAAACCATGATTTTCATCATCCTGCCCATGTCAGAATACACTCTGTTATGAGAATGAAACCCAATAACCAAAATAAACCAGGATTTTCAAATTGTACTGCAAAGAAGGTTCTGACGGTCTCTTCTGGGAGCAATGCAACTGAAGGTAATCCTAGCACTGGCTGAATGCAGTCTCCTCTGTCCCGGACATGCAATGCCATAGGCTCCAGATGGTAGTCCCTCTTGCTCTGTGACTTCTAAAGCAACTGAGCCTCTCCTTCCACCTCTGCTGCTCTGCTGTCCTTCCTGGGCTGAGATTCACTGACGTGGTGGTTTGAGGTAACTGTCAAGATTGTACTGTCCCTTTAAGGTACCACATGCCACCATAGCTTACACAGCAATCCTAGAGAGAGAGAAACGTGTTAAGGGCAGGCATCAGCAGGAAAGGTAGCCGCTCGATGATTCTGGGCAGAATTTCACAACTTGACTCGAATTAATAGAAATGGAAAATCAAGACCTGCCTGATCTGTCCCTTCAGTGTTTGGGCCTCAGTCCCTGACCTCTTTTTCTGCTCACAGGGGTCTTAAGAGGGAGAAACTTAATCTGCTTTATAAACACAAAATAGAAAATCTGAATAGCTGACCAGAACAAAGGTGCTTCCCAAATAGTGTCACTATATATACAGCCGTGGATGTTTACGATAATAGATAAAAGAACATAAGGTAACCATCACCAACTTTCTGTGTTTCAACGTTTCTGCAAATACGGTATTTGGAGCAGGCAGTTCATAAAAGCATATAGGTAGTAATACACTCAAGTACTCTCAGCCACCGGACAAGTCAAACAGGTTCTCCTGAGCGTTAAGTACGCAGGAGTTGGTATGTGGCTATGGCCAAAGTCATGCAAGAGGTACCAGGCTGGGTGTGTGTGTGTGTGTGTGTGTGTGTGTGTGTGTGTGAGGACTCTGAAGGGTGAAGGTGGAGCCTGTACGTTACTCAGTTTAGTCCTTCAGCACAGACCTCACCAATGTCAATCATTTATCTGTTGCCAAAGATCTGATCTAACATCCACCGAGTGGCAGGAAGCAGCCGACTAGAGCCCGCCTCCCTCTACCACAAGGAGGAGCCTGGCACCCTCGCACTGACGCTCAGGCCAGAGCAGCCGCCTCTGGACGTTGTCACACACGCACACAGGCTCACCTTCAGCACTTTATCCACCTCCTGCTTGCTGAGATCTTCGCCGCACTCCTGCGTCAGCCGAGACTGGATCATGTTCCGACGCACCCGGTAATTTTTGGAGAAAATTTCAAGCAAAACCTGTCGGTGCTTTAATAGCAAAAACATGTTACTATGGAAAGCAATCGATGAAAAGAGAAACATCCCAAACCGGTCTGTGAGCAGAGTCCTTGCTCACGGACTCGGGGGAATGATGAACACGTTTGGCCACTGGTCCTCACAGCTCAGACCCCAACAAAAGGAAGACTCGGAGCAGAGGGATGCACCCAGCGAGCGGTGAAAGGTGGCAGTGCAACGCCGCCGTTTAGACACCCTGATACAAAACAAACAGGAGAGCTGACTGGGCAGGGGACAGCGCCATTAAAGTCCATGAAGCCAGAGAAGGGGCGAGGAGCATGTGCTGAAAGTGCTGGCACTGACATGGCATGGCACCTAGGAAACAGATGCCCAAGAAGCATTGCACCCCAAAATAAAAACCAGACAGATAGAAGTGGGACTCATGAACAGCTGTGAAAGCTGGAGCAATGGGAAATGGCTTACATTCAGAGGGAAAATGATTTGCCCTCCAACATTCTAGCCCCGGACAGACAACTCTACTTGAAAGAACAGCCAACTCCCCATCCCTGGGAAGCCAAAATGAATTGAGAGGAAGACACGAGATTCTGTAAGCCATCCTGCTGGGAATCACACAACACGGTTATCACGGTTGGTAACGTGTTCAGGAACCATGCAATTGAAAACAGTAAGTAGCGTAAGAAGGAAGACAATAGCAGCACAATCTACAATAGCTAGGATTTGGAAACAGCCTTGGTGCCCATCAGTAGATGATTGGATCCAAAAACTATGGTACATCTACACAATGGAATATTATGCAGCCATAAAAAAGGAATTCTCATCATTTGCAGCAACCTGGATGGAATTGGAGAACATCATGCTGAGTAAAATAAGACAGTCAATGAAAGAGAAACACCACATGACCTCACTCATTTGTGGATAATCAAGAACAATATAAACTGATGAACCAAAAGATAGATATAGAGATAGTAAAGCAACAAGCAGATTGTCAAATTACAGCGGGAGGGTAGGGAGATCTGGGGGAGATAAGAGGTCAACCGAAGGACTTGTATACACGCATATAAGTTCAACCAATGGACACAAAACTCTGGGGAGGGAGGGCATCTATGAGAGGGAGGGAGAGACAATGGTAAGATATGTACACAGATAATAATTTAATAAAAAATTAAAAAAAAAAAAAAAAAAAGAGGAGGAAGACAGTCAGCCTAATGCTGACGTTTGGCTCCACAATAGCACACTGGCAGCCACGGAGCTGGAAGCGCGGACAGGCCCAGCAGCGTCTCCGGCGTCAGAGAAGCGGAGCCCCTGCGTTAACTGCACGCGTTTGCCGGGAGTCGAGGGGTGGCTCCAGGGCGGGTCCGGCAGACCATACAGCTGCCAGTCTCAGTGGATGTTAAAATGCGCACTTACTGCTTTAAGCTATCAGAGTATTCCAGGAGTAATGAGCTCAGAGACCTCCTACCTACTCTGGCCCAAGCACAGAGGGCTGCTCCCCAACCACGGCCCATCAGAGCCCCCATTGTATATCCTGCTGCCAGCCAGCCAGCCCCCGCCCCCCACGAGGCAGAGGGAGCCAAGAACCCAGCGGTGGCTCTTGCTCTCTCCCTTCCGACACCCGTGGTGTGAGCCATGCAGCCTTAGCCTCGAAGGCGGCCAGAACGTGGGAAGGTCAGGTCCACGAGGGCAGACAGCTTCCTGCTCTAACTCCTGTCTGCTCACGGACCCCCGTGACTGCAGGGGTGACGAGAGGAAAAGGACAGTTTCTCTTAGAAACCCAGCGCCCAAGACTGAGAGGCTTCCTTGTGAGGCTGGCGCCGGAGGCCAGCCACACGGGGTCAGGCCCTCGGAGAGCTGTGGAGCCTGCACGCACCAGGACCGGCCGCTCCCGGCAGCTGGCCCTCAGGTGGCCCTGGGAGCCGACGGGGCTCACACCACGGCCCCGCGGCCGGGGTGACAGTGCCAGGCTGTCAGGGTCGGGAAGGGCTGGGAAACCGGCTGGAGGCTCAGCAGCCAGGTGCCTCACCTGATCGCTCATGTCTCCGGACTCCCAGAGGGCGAACACCTTCTGCTCATCCGGGGAGGCGGCCGTCTGCGGGGGAAACTGACGAGGCCCGGTGTGAGCGGTGCTGGTCTTCCCCGCGGACCCTCCCGCTGCACCCGCCTGGCTCTCGGGGAAGGGCCAGCCACCCCACCAGGACCGTGGGGGGCTCTGCATTGGCGGGAAGCGTCTTTTCCCACGAGCCTGGCATCAGCTCACTCTGCTTTCCCATCAGCCTTGCCCTTCCCTGAACGCCAGCCCTCAGACGTGTCCCGAGACGCCCCCCCCCAGCTCCCCGGCACACGCCTCCTTGCAGTCCCTCCACAGGGGGGGCCGCGGGGCCGAAGGCCGTCTGCCTCCCAAGCAGCCCACGCCGCTGTGCTGGGTGGGCCCAGAGGCGGCCCAGGCTCGGTGCCTGGAGAACAGGGGCGGGAAGGTGGCACCGGCACAGCTGGCACTACCCCGGAAAGCCCAGCGGCTGTGAATCCGCTCACTGGACCGCTAGGCCCGGAGGCAGGGAGGTGCCACGCTCCCTCTCCTGAGGCTTCCTCACTGCCCTGGGCGCACAGCCAGGCTGTGCAAGCCCACCGCCTGCCCGGGGCCTCGGCTGCCTGCGAAGCCGCGGGGCTGGCAGGCCTGGGCCTCCTCCACCTCGGACGTGACTGTGACCTGGGCCCGCGTCGGCGTCACAGGAGGAGGGTGACTGCAGAGAAGGCCGCAGTGTCCGACACCGGCTCCCGAGAGGAAGCAGGCGAGGGCAGGTCCTGGGGGAGGAGAGGAGAGGAGAGGCCACTCCGGGTCCCTCCCTCCTGTCCACTCCAGCACAGGACAGCCTGGCGCAGCTCAGAGGAGGCGAGCCTGTAGCTGACGACGCCGTCTGCTGGGGAGGCCCAGGGGGAGGCTCCGAAGAGGGCGGGGCCTTCGGTGCCAGACTTACCCCGGGAGGCTCCCTGCACGAGGGCCAGCTCCCCGGGACGGCCTCGCCAGCCTGGCACCAGGGCCTCTTGCCCGTTTCTGTTCTCAGACACAGAGCTGGGCCTTAGCTGCAGACGCAGACACCCCTGCTCCGTTAACACAGGCTGTGCCGCCCGCCTCCCCCCGCCTGCTGCCAGGCCAGGGCCGAGCCTGAAGGGATAAGAGCCAGCAAGCTTCCCTGCTTCCCGCACCACAGCGGGCGCCCACGCTCAGCCAGGGCCTCCGGCTCAGGCCGGGCGGAGCAGCAGCTCACCAGCCCGAGCAGAGAGGACTGAGGGGCTGGAGCCTCTATGCCGTCACCAGCCGCCACCTCCTGGGCCCCGTCCTGACAGGCTCACCCACGGGCCCCGTCCTGACACAGGCTCACCCACGGGCCCCGTCCTGACAGGCTCACCCACGGCCCCCGTCCTGACACAGGCTCACCCGCTGGGCCCCCGTCCTGACACAGGCTCACCCACGGGCCCCGTCCTGACACAGGCTCACCCACTGGGCCCCGTCCTGACAGGCTCACCCACGGCCCCCGTCCTGACAGGCTCACCCACGGGCCCCGTCCTGACACAGGCTCACCCACTGGGCCCCGTCCTGACACAGGCTCACCCACGGGCCCCCGTCCTGACAGGCTCACCCACGGGCCCCGTCCTGACACAGGCTCACCCACGGCCCCCGTCCTGACACAGGCTCACCCACGGCCCCCGTCCTGACACAGGCTCACCCACGGGCCCCCCGTCCTGACAGGCTCACCCACGGGCCCCGTCCTGACAGGCTCACCCACGGGCCCCGTCCTGACACAGGCTCACCCGCTGGGCCCCCGTCCTGACACAGGCTCACCCGCTGGGCCCCCGTCCTGACACAGGCTCACCCACGGGCCCCCGTCCTGACACAGGCTCACCCACGGGCCCCCGTCCTGACACAGGCTCACCCGCTGGGCCCCCGTCCTGACACAGGCTCACCCGCTGGGCCCCCGTCCTGACACAGGCTCACCCGCTGGGCCCCCGTCCTGACACAGGCTCACCCGCTGGGCCCCCGTCCTGACACAGGCTCACCCGCTGGGCCCCCGTCCTGACACAGGCTCACCCACTGGGCCCCTGACCTGACACAGGCTCACCCACTTCTCTGAAACCATCCCTTCTCTGCAGGTGCAAGACCAGTGACACTAGAAATCCCCAACTCGGCCAGGGGTGAGCGGAGGTGCGGAGGGGTGGGAGTGGGGGTGGTGCCAGAAACCAGGTTGGGCACGTCTCCTCGGCCCTGGCCGAGGCCTGCGACACAAGGCGAACCATCACCCACCTCAGAGGAGGGCGCAGAGCCAAGGCTGGCTGGCCCAAAGTCACGCACAACCTCCGCCTGAGAGCCAAGACTCGAACCCCGGTCAGGGTCTTCCCTGGTGCCCACCCCCGTGCCGGCGCCCCCGGCGCTGGCGGGACTTCTCTCTCGGCCTTCCCACCCAGCGCCCCGCTGCGGCCCCTCACTCACAGGCACCAGAATCTGCTTGCAGCCGGCGGCCAGCACCGTGTCCTGCAGCATGCGGTCCGAGATGCCGCTGAAGAGCGTGTGGCCCGGGGGCAGGCTCGCCAGGTGCAGGTTGAAGAGGCGCTTGAGCTCGCTCAGCGTGAGCACGAACTGTCTCTGGAAGGTGGCCTCCACGAAGGCCCGCAGCTCCTGGGCGGCCGGGCCGGCTCCGCTGGGGGGCGGGGGCCCGGTGAAGCCGTCCCCGCCCGCAGCCCACCCAGCGGGCAGCCCGTTGGTCAGCCGGCCGAGGCGGCCGCCGCCGGGTGAGGTGTCCATGGGCTCGCCCTCCTCCACGGCCGGCTCCTCCTCCTCCTCCTCCTCGCCCTCCTCGCTCAGGGGCTCCTCCTTGATCTGCACGCCGGGCGGCACCGCAGACCCCGAGGCCTGCTCCCTCCTCCGCTGCAGCTCCCGCTCCAGCAGCGCGTGGTTCTGCTGGGCCCTGCTCTTGGCCGCCTGGACCCGCTGCTCCCCAGACAGCAGCCCTGCAGGCCCTGCGCGGAGAGGGCTGCTCAGGAGGACAGAGGTGGGCCGGGGGGCCAGGCCGCTGTGCCCCAAGGACAAGCCCTCCCCCGACGGGGCGGAACACTGCAGCCACCTTACCAAGCGGCTGAGCTACCCCAGCAACGAGGGGAGAACGAACTGGCAAAGCCAGCCGCCCACGCCCAGAGGCCCAGGATGGGCTGGTGCTGAGAGCAAAGTGAGAGGTGCCAGGGGCTGAGCACACAGCCTGGTGGGGAGGCTGCAGCCGCCTGCGGCGGAGCCAGTGGGGAGGGAAAGCCCAGCGGTCCCGGCCCAGGCCCGAGCCCGGTGCCAGGTGAGGGCGCCCACACACCTGGCTGTCCGTCTGGCTGCTTTGGCGTCGTCTCCTTCACCAGGTTATAGACTTTCTCTAACCTGAAAACAAGAGCCAACACTTTACACCACGTCCCCGTCATCTCAGCGCCCGAACCCGGGGCAGCCTGCTGCCCGGGGACCCGTGTGCCCGCAGCACTGGGCCCTCCCTACGGGCCAGGCCCACGCCGAGCGCCCCTCTGCCCTTCCCCCGCCCACCACGAGCGGGTGTCAGGCCTCTGCCGGGACGGGTCGGCAGCATGACAGAGTGGGGGGGGCCCAGCCCTCGCCCGCCCCGGAGCCGTACTTGGCCTGGATGCCCGTCCACAGCATGTGCTGCCGCTGCACCACGTCGGGGTGCTTCCGGATGAACTCCCCGTCGTGCGGCAGGACGAACTCCCAGCCCCGGTTGATCCTCACCACGGCCATGTGCTCCAGGAAGTCCTTCACGTCCTCTGCACAGAGCTGGGGGCGGGCGAGAGTGAGGCGGCCGCCCCCACGCCTGGCCCTCCCCCCAGAGCGCGTCACTCACTTTGGTCACCGCCGCCACCTCCTTCCGCACCACCCAGCGGCTCTGCGTGAACTTCCACATCTGCGGGCGGGGAGAGCGTGTTCCCGGGAGCCAGGGCTGGGCCACGTGGGTGTGGGTCTGCCCGTGGGCAGTCCCTTCCTCTCTGCACCCGCCGCCTCCTTCGTACAGGACCAGGCTGTCTCCTCAGAGGCAGCGGGACCTCCCGCCCTGGGCCCGGGCCCGCCGAGCGCCGTGCGAGGCAGGCGCCGAGGTCCGGGTAAGGCAGGGCGGGTGGGGACGGAGAGGACAGGCTCCGGAGCTGCCCACGCCAGCAGCCAGCTGGGACACGAGACGGGCCCGCCTGCGCGTGTGCACGGAATCCCAGCCCTGTCCCAGTGGGTGCTGTTTGGCTGGGCCAGTCCCACAGACTAATTATTCACAGGAGCTAGAAACCTGGTCTGTAATATAATTTTGATTTGCAAAAACTAACCAAGGTAACAGTTCAAGAACAGCACTCGAGCCAAAGGAAGCTCGCGGGCCTCGGAGAGAACTCAAAGGTCTGTGTGAAGCAGGACCCTGGAGCCCGCCCGGCCCTGCCCCGGCACAGGCCTGGCCTCTGCGCTGCCCTGGCCCCGGCTGGGAGCCCTGTGCCGCCCGCCCTCCTCCCAGCGGACGCCAGAGCCCGGCACTCACCACGAAGTCTCGGCCCCGGCAGAGCACCTCGGCGGGCACACCACTGTGCGGGCTGGAGGAGTCCTTGGGGTACAGGATGTCACTGCCGGAGAGTGGTGGCCGTCAGTCCGTCCTCAGCCCCTCTGCCGCCGTCCCTGCCCGGCCTCGCAGTGCGAGCCCACCCGCCTCTTTCCTCTTTCCAACACACCCCATCCCCCCTTCCCCCCCTTTCCTCACCCTGGCTTGTGAGCACACTCCCCTCCCCTCCCCGCCCCGAGTTCTTCCCACCCACCCCTCTTTATTTACAAAGAGAAATAAAGCTTTTAGGTTCTTTTTTGTCTTTGCTGCTGTTGTTACTCCTCCCTCACCTGAGCACCTGAGGGTATTTCCCTGCTGACTTTTAAAATATATTTTTTACTGATTTTCCACAGAGGAAGGGAGAGGGATAGAGAGCTAGAAACGTCGATGAGAGAGAAACATCGACCGGCTGCCTCCTGCACACCCCTGCTGGGGATGTGCCCGCAACCAACGTACATGCTCGTGACCGGAACTGAACCTGGGACCTTTCAGTCCGCAGACCGACGCTCTACCACTGAGCCAAACCGGCTTCGGCTCCCCGCTGATTTTTAGAGTGTGGAGGGGAGAAGGGGAGGGAGAGAGAGAACACATCCCAACCAGGGCCGGGGATCCAGCCTGCCCCCACGGCACGTGTCCTTGGCTGGAATCAAATCTGAGGCCCTTCAGCCCACAGGTTTGCGCTTTAACCACCGAGCCAAACCGGCTGGGCCCTCCCATCCTTCCCGAGCCCCCAGCGCCACAACTGGCCCAGGATCAGAGCGTGGACACGAAGGGGCCCGGGCTCAGAGGCAGGCGTGGCCAGCCCGAGGCTCTGGGAAAACAGACGGACCCAGATGGACAGCACGTGCAATCCTGAGGGGGACCATGACAGAGGGGGTGAGGGGCAGGGTGGGGGCCTGTCAGGCCCGAGCACAAGGGGGAGGCCAGCACCAGGCCCAGAGAGAAGAGCCAGCACCAGGCCCAGAGAGAAGGGCCAGCACCAGGCCCAGAGAGAAGGGCCAGCACCAGGCCCAGAGAGAAGGGCCAGCACCAGGCTCAGAGAGAAGGGCCAGCACCAGGCCCAGAGAGAAGGGGAGCACCAGGCCCAGAGAGAAGGGCCAGCACCAGGCCCAGAGAGAAGGGCCAGCACCAGGCCCAGAGAGAAGGGCCAGCACCAGGCCCAGAGAGAAGGGGAGCACCAGGCCCAGAGAGAAGGGCCAGCACCAGGCCCAGAGAGAAGGGCCAGCACCAGGCCCAGAGAGAAGGGCCAGCACCAGGCCCAGAGAGAAGGGCCAGCACCAGGCCCAGCCCAGAGAGAAGGGGAGCACCAGGCCCAGAGAGAAGAGCCAGCACCAGGCCCAGAGAGAAGGGGAGCACCAGGCCCAGAGAGAAGGGCCAGCACCAGGCCCAGAGAGAAGAGCCAGCACCAGGCCCAGAGAGAAGAGCCAGCACCAGGCCCAGAGAGAAGGGCCAGCACCAGGCCCAGAGAGAAGGGCCAGCACCAGGCCCAGAGAGAAGGGGAGCACCAGGCCCAGAGAGAAGAGCCAGCACCAGGCCCAGAGAGAAGGGGAGCACCAGGCCCAGAGAGAAGGGCCAGCACCAGGCCCAGAGAGAAGGGCCAGCAGCAGGCCCAGAGAGAAGGGCCAGCACCAGGCCCAGAGAGAAGGGCCAGCACCAGGCCCAGAGAGAAGGGCCAGCACCAGGCCCAGAGAGAAGGGCCAGCACCAGGCTCAGAGAGAAGAGCCAGCACCAGGCCCAGAGAGAAGGGGAGCACCAGGCCCAGAGAGAAGGGGAGCACCAGGCCCAGAGAGAAGGGGAGCACCAGGCCCAGAGAGAAGGGCCAGCAGCAGGCTCAGAGAGAAGAGCCAGCAGCAGGCCCAGAGAGAAGGGCCAGCAGCAGGCCCAGAGAGAAGAGCCAGCAGCAGGCCCAGAGAGAAGAGCCAGCAGCAGGCCCAGAGAGAAGGGCCAGCAGCAGGCTCAGAGAGAAGGGCCAGCAGCAGGCTCAGAGAGAAGGGCCAGCAGCAGGCTCAGAGAGAAGGGGAGCACCAGGCCCAGAGAGAAGGGCCAGCACCAGGCCCAGAGAGAAGGGGAGCACCAGGCCCAGAGAGAAGGGCCAGCACCAGGCTCAGAGAACTTCAGGCCGAGACGAACCATGTCCACAGCACAGCCCGCCCAGCCCACGGCCTGTGCTCAGGACACTCCCCACCGGCACCACCGCCGCTCCTCTGCCCCACCCCAGTCCCAGCTGCCACCAGCCGCTGCCCATTCTGGAGGCGGAGCTCCGTGCGCACCACCTTCCCGGGACAGGGACAGGGCCCGGGCTCACTGAGCAGTGCTGCAGGAATGTGGCCCAGGCCGGACCTGCGGACAGGGACAGTGTGAATGCGCGTGCCGTGTAGGGCCCGGACAAACGTGTGAACGCTGCACCATCCCCACAGGGTCACAAGGGACAGGGCGGAAGGAGCCACAGGCCTTGCTGGGGTAGCCAGGACAGCGTCAGGGTGGAGACCACAGCAGGACCCCCAGACCACGAAGGCCCATCCCGAAAGGGGCGGCTGCACCGGGGCACAGGCGGTGCCGGGCGGCCTCGCCGCCGGGGGTCAGAGTGTCCATCGCTCCGGGCCAATGCCCTCAGTGAATGATGGGATGGCCCGACTCTCGTTCACAGGTGCCATCGCACAGGCCCATCTAACGAGTGATGTGCTTCTCCATGACGTGCATGAGACACCCAATGCACAAGCAGGCCTGTGCTTCCCAGGGCGAGGGCGCCACCCTGTGGCCATGACATGAACATACTTTCTAATTAGTCAATCAAATAGGTATTCATGGACTGCTTGCAGTGAATTACTTTTTTTTAATTGGTCTGAGAGAGAAAGGGAGAAGACAGAGAACCATCAACGTGAGAAATATTAACTAGGTGCCTCCCTCATGTGCCCCAATCAGAGATCAAACCTACATCCTGGGTGTGTGCCCTGACTAGGAATCGAACCCACAACCTCTTGGCGCATGGGATGACGTTCCAACCAACACTGGCCAGGGCCGCAGTGCATCATTTTTATAAAAATTTGTGACAACTCACTAACAGCTTTTTCACTTTGCCGCACTTTCTAAAAGGTGTGTACATTATACCATTTAGAACTAATATAATAAAACATAGATAGCCACCTATGTTCACTCTGTGCCAGGCGTTACACTGAGAGGCGGGGACATAAGGGAGTCAGTCAAGAGGCAGCCCCACCCCCTGGAAACGGACAGCCTGGTGCATGAGGCAGACAGGCCAGAGAGGAATCGCAGGGAGAGAGAAGCTGCTGTGAGACCCAGGACACGTCCAGGGAAGTTTAACATTTAGACACGCCTTCGTGAGCTGTGGAACACAATCCGAAGGCAGACATGTAACAGATGGGAAGAATGCCGACCAGAGACTACGTCTTGTGGGGTTTAAAGTCGCGAGAAGGCCACTTCACAACAGCATGTGAGTTGGAAGATAAATGTAAAACCTTCTGAGCTCTTTGAATTACCCCGGATGAGGGTAAAAGCAGCAATTAATATAACTGAGACAAGTCACGAGTGCATGCTGAAATCTGTAGGGAATCACTGAAACAGCTGCTAAAGGGTAACTTCCAAATTAGCAGGAAAAATGGAATAAAAGGACCAGTAGAAGGTAAGAATGAATATTAAATGCAATGCAGGCAGATTTAAACCAGATATCAGCAACCACATTAAACAGAGTGGATGAAGGGGCTACAGACAACTTACCTCTTCACCACCCAATTTCCTTGGACCAACATCGCCACCTTCTGGATGCCACGCAGAACAGCCACGGAGTCCACAGCGGGGCCCAGAAGGCTCATCAGGTTGGCAAAAGGCATGACCTTCACTGCGGAGGCAGAGGATCAGACCAGGGAGAAGCAGCCCAGGCCCTCCCTGCCCCGGCTCTGCCTGCCCAGCTCAGGGTGACAGCCAGGGCACAGCCGGGCACGGCTCAGTGGATCCTGAAGGCAATGCCCGGCAGGAAGAGTGTCAGGAGAATCTACTCAGGGCCAGAGGTTCAAGACCGGGCCCTGGTCATCTGGCTGGTCAGTGGCAGAGTCAGAATGAGACGCCAGGTCTCCGGGGTCGAGTCCACGCTCTTAGCCATGGTGCTCTGCTCACCCCAACTGCCCGAACCCCCCATCCAGGTGAGCAGGGCGGGTTGGGGAAGCCCTCAGGCCTGCAGCCTCAGGCACAGCAGGGAGCTCTGCTCTGCTCGGGCCCCAGAGACCCTGGAGTGGGCATCTCGGAAGAAGAGCCCAGGGCCTGAGATTCAGCTCTGAGGTTCTAGGCCCATGCCTGCCGCTCGCCGGCTCCAGGCCCCACAGGTTCTGGCTCCCAGGATCCTCCAAGAAAAGACCCGTCCGCGTGGGCACCACAGCACCGGCCGGTGAGCATGCTCAGGACTGCAGCCCTCGGTGGCCCCCTTTCAGACCCACAAACTGAGGGCAGGAAGGGCTCGCACAGCGGGGACCGGCCCCTAAGGGCTGCCGGGATGAGGAGCTGGCAGCTCCGAGCAGAGGCAGCAGCTCGGCGCACCCCTGGTCCTCATCTGCCCGCCTCGGGCACCCACCGTTCTTCATCAGGATCTTGATCTGGTCGGTGAGGGGCAGGGTGCGCAGCTGGGCCATGGACAGCACGTTGCTGGGGGCCACGGGCTTGTCTCTGTAGAAACACAGCGGCGGGGGTCAGGGCCGGTCAGAGGCCACAGGCAGAGCCCGGGTGCCGCCCAGCCCCCCTGCTCACCTCTCCTCCTCCTGGCTGGGCGGCACCAACATCAGGAGGTACTCACTGCGGGGGAGAGGGCAGTCAGCGGCCTCGAACGCAGCCCCGGCGTAGCTCCCTGCCGGCAGCCAGAGGAGGCCCAGCCCTCCCACGGCGCTCCCGGCCACCCGAGGGGCACCTGCCAGTCCCACCTGGGCGACTTGACGAGCTCCGTGTTCTCGGCGCCGCTGCCGCCCTGGCACAGCAGGTACTGGCGCTCGTGCTCAGAGCGGCTGTCCTGGGGGGGGGACCACAGACCTCAGCGGAGCCCCGAAGCCCTCCACCACCCAGCTCTCACCACGGCCGCCCTAGCCACCCGCTGGTGCCCCGAGGCCCCGGCACCCGGGGCTGGCTGCAGCCCAGCCTGGAGCCTCGGCGCCTGTCCGGCGCAATGACAGCTAGCATTCGTGAGCACCTACTGTGCGCCACGCTCGGTACCAAAGACCAACTCACCTATCCTCAAAGCAACGCCACCCCGTCAGTCCTATTATCATCATCCCCGTTTTACAGATGAACCGGTTTGGAGAGGGGAGGTACTCGCCCAAGGTCACACCAGGAAATAGCAGAGCCTCTGCAAGTCTGACCCTGAGGCCAAGGCTGTCACACAAATCTCTCCCAGGAAGGTTCCAGAAAACCCGACTGCTCCTTAGAAAAGCGCTGGGAGCCCCAGCCTGTGGGTGCCGGGAGCTTCCCTCCTCCACACAATTTCAAGAACTGGTCCAAGGCCAATGCACCACTTGGTGAGAACGGGCACAGTAAGTCACACGACGACCTTGGCCATGTGCATGGCAGACGTGGAAGCCAGCAGCAGCCCGCTCCGAGCTCAGGGGCTGCACCGGGACCGGGTGGCAGCCAGGCCGCCCTCCGGGGTGCAGGGACCCCGGGAGGGGAGGACTCTGCATAGGATGGATCCCCTCACCCTGTGCTAGCAGCGGCCACAATGCCACCCTCCCGCCTGCTCCCGTCCCCCCTCCCGCCCCCTCACCCTCCGGCCGTGGTAGTGCAGGTGCACCCAGGGCTCCTCAGCGTGCTTCTTCTGCAGGAACTCGTACGACTGCACACGGCGCTGCCGGGCCTGCTCCGACTCGGGCCGCGAGAACCGCACCTGGGGACGGGCAGCGTGACGGCCGAGGCCTGGCCACCCCTGGGCTGCCCCCGCGAGGCCAGAGGACCCCACATCGGGGCCTTCCCACGGCCCCTCCCCTCCTCCTCTCAGTGCTGCCGTCCCTGTGCCCTGCCAGCCAGGCCAGGAGCAGCTTTCTCAGGCTGCTGCCAGGTTCCAGAGCCCGGAGAGTCTACTGCGGGCCTGGAGGACACTCGGGCCTAAGCGTGCCTGGGTACAGGCCAGGGAGCACCAGGAGGGGAATGGTACCCAAGGGCATCCAGGAGGACAGGTGAGTCCCCACGTTGGTGATGCCAGAATCCATCAGCCTCCAAGGTCATACAAACACCCTATGTCCCATCCACGCCATTTGTGCAGTACTTTGTTTTAAACGCTTACTCACTTAACCTAAATATACTTAAATGGGGGAGACTTTATAAGCCGTAGTGGAAGGTCAACATTCTTCCTACAATCTCTGAAATGCAGGAGTAACCACTGAGATAGAAGCACTTCAGCCTGCACCACTAGAGACAAAGCCACATCAGTCCCACGGGCTGTGGCCCAGGGCAGACAGTGTGCCTACATGCATGGGACGCCAAGGCCCTGGCTTCCCCTCCGAGCACACCAGGCCGGCCAGGATCCCGTCCCTCACAGGCAGGGCTGCCTCCCTCCTCCGCCGGGACAGCCCGCAGGCAGAGGCCCGGCGGTCCCTCAGGCAGCCACAGAGGGCCCTGCGGAGCAGGCAGTTCCTGCGCCGGCTTCCCCAGAGGACCCTGCCCACACCTCCTGCCCTGCCCTGTCCCCCCCCCCCCACACTCCCCAGACACTGCGCTGCCCACTGCCCTCTGGGCTGGGCTCACCGTGATCTGCTTCACGTCTTCCTCTGCCTCGTCCTGCGAAGAGTCGCCCGCTGCGAGAGAAACCAGGCTGCCCTCAGCCTGGGGGAGACCGCGGCGCCCGCCCGCCCCCCGCCCCAGGCAGATGCAGGCCAGTTCACCGTGGGGCACACGTTTCCCCGGGGGGACATCTGGAAGTGGGCGGAGGCATTTGGGAGGTGGGTGCTACTGGCACCCAGTAGGCAGAGGCCTCCGTCTTCCCACCCCTTCCCTGCTCTCCCCTCGGCGGGCCCACCACCACCACAGACGGACAGGGCAGGGCGGGCAGGCCTCACCCTCGCTGGCTGCCTCCCTCTCCCGGTGCTTGGCGTCTGCCTTGTCCAGGTAGGAGAAGCTGGGCCGAAGCTGCAGGATGCCGTGCAGGGGCGTCAGGTGGAGCTCGCCTGTGGGAAGGACTTCCACGTGACTCCAGGAACTGAACCACCCCCAGCCTGGCCCACGGCCGGCATCACCCAGGGCCCGGACTCCACTCAGGCCTCGGCCCAGTGCCAAACCACCTCCACCTCTGATCCTGGGGCTTTGGGACCACCAGGCCGACCCGTCGTCCCCCAGCCCTGCTGGACACAGCAAGCACACAACCGAGATCAGGATGGGGATCCTGACCCAAAGCCACTTCCGTGACACCTGCTGCAGATGCACGCCAGTGGTTCCCGCCTCCACAAATACCCAGGGCCCCGCCGTCAACGGCCTGCTCCCACCGCGCCACCAACAAACCCTCACACAGCCCTTTCCTGCCGGGCCTCCATCAGACACCCCCGGGCCTCCCTCATCCTCCTGCCTCGTCCTGCCAGAACCCCCGTCCCATTAGGCCTGTCTAGTCTTCCTTTCCGTTTGGCCCGCGATACCCTATGTCACGATATGCTGGCAGCACGTGACTGAGTGACCGGACAGGAAGCACAGTGCCAGTCACAGTGACTGCCATGGCGCTTAGCATGCTGAGTCGGCTATGAAATGTGGAGGAGTCCACAGGCTCTGACGAAGCCATGACTTCTCCTGAGTCAGACCTCGCCTGGAAGCAGGCAGAGACCCTCTGTGTCACAGGTGACGTGGCTGCAGCGAGCAGACACCAGTGGCCAGGTCCCGGGGGAGCTGTCTGAGCCCGGGAAGCCCCGAGGGCGCTCCCTCTTCAGACAGGAGCCCCTGAGGGCCGTCTGCTGCCAGGAGGTGGTTAAACATGGAGAAGTGTTATCTGTCACGACTTGTTTCCCAAGTATTCACATTAGTTTCACTAACTCTCAGTACTTACGAGGCCTTGTACTTTTTACAGCTGAGACGCAGTTCACAGGTGATACAATGCAAGGTGTTCTAGCTCACGCAGAACTGCATACCAGCACCACAATCACTGCAAGAACGGCTCACTGACCCGGAGCCGTGCACGCAGTAGCCACGCCCTGCTGTCTGTCCCTGCTCTCCAGGCTCATCGGCGTCTGTCTCCCTCTGAGCGACTGAGAATGTCCCCGAGTGGCCACACCACACGGCCACCACACCAGCTCATCACAGACAGCCGCACACTCGTCTCACCAGCACGAGCTGCTGCACACCAGGCACAGCTTTGCGTGCACACGGTTTCCACTCTCGGGCAGGCGCTGCTGGGCCCCAAGCACCTTGTTTAAAACAAGCCCCCCACCTCCTCCGTTCCGCTGTGTGCCCTGAGCCCGGGCTCCGTCAGGCTTTGGACCATCTTGAAGATGGCCAGCACTGGGGAGAGGCTGGACACCAGGTAGCCAGGCCCCTCCCCGCCCCAGCCCCAGCCCCAGCCTCAGCCCGCTTCCCAACCCCTCGGCAGCTGCCAGCTACGGCCCCCGGCCCCCAAGGTACCTTGCCGGTAGAGTGCGGCAGCATAGCGGGAGGTGTTGCTGGTGGTCTGGGAGGAGCAGAATGTCTGCTTGTCCATCAGCTTCCTGGGAGCACAGGGAGAGCGGGCGTCTGGGGGGAAGCGCCAGCCCCAGGCCTGGCAGGCACAGCCCCCCCGACTCCAGATGCCTGCTGAAACCCGACAGCCAGGGACCAAGCCCACAGGACAGGCTGCGTGCAGCAGAGGGACGCTGAGGGGACAGGTGGGCGCCCCTGCGCCCCTCGGGGCCCAGGAAGGACGTGTGGAGGAGCCGCCTCGGGGAAGCCCTTCCCCGGAGAGGGGTCTGCACCAGGCCAGCCCCGAAGGCGGGCGCAGGGGCGGGAAGCCAGCTCGGGGCTCAGGCGCCCTGAGGCCTGAGGAGGCCCCGGGCAGTGAAGCTCGAGGCCTGGAGGCCAGGGACTCACGAGGAGTAGGTGCTGGCCTCGTCTGCGCAGGTGCCATCCACGTTCAGCGCGATCTGCTCCCCTTTGCTGCGGCAGTAGTTGGGGTTCAGGGTGTCGATGGCCATCTCAAGCTCTACCTGGAAGCACCAGCACCCCCACCAGCCATGAGGACTCCAGGCACAGCCCTCAGGGGACGCGGCGCCCCCTCCTGGCCCTGCGCAGACTCAGGGCTCAGCTTCCATCCACACCACAGGCCACAACCCCAATCCAGCAGAAAAGGCCAGAGTGGTTTTCGGGAGGCGGAGAGGGTCCCACAGCTCCACCCCAGAGGTCTAGAGCGGCATTAAAAGTCAAGAGCCTTCTCATAAAAACCTTACTTTCACTTTTCCAGCTGTCCTGCCCTGGGCCCTGGACTGCTCAAGCCAGATCTGCTTCACCCCGGCCCCCGCCCCCGCCCTGCCCCAGGCCCCGCCACGGCCCCCGCCACCCTCCTCCAGGCCTCCCTGAGCCGCCACCTTCCTCAGCTTTCAGGCCCTGCAGGCCGCTGTCTAACTCCCCACTCCCTCCCGAGCGCCAGGCCCACAGGCTCCTGGCCTCCCCGCCCCCCCAGCCCTCCGGCGCAGAGGGCCCACCTTCTGCTGCTTGGGCTTGATCCGGGCCGAGAGGTGCGGGATGTCGTCGTAGGTCATCGAGGCCGGGCGCACAGGGTACTGGAGGGAAGGCAGGCGTCAGACACAAAGCCGGCTCTCCGCCAGCCCCCTTCTCGCCGGCTCCACCTGGTCCTTCCAGACGGGCTCCAACCTCCACGCCTCGGGCCCAGAGCACACACCACCCCCTGGGCGCTGCACCCACAGCCCCATGGTCAGAGGGAGGTCCACGGGAGCCACGAGGGAAAGCAGGCCCGGCCACGTCCGCTCACTGCCGAGGCGGCAAGGCCCGGCGGGATGCAAGCCGCAGGCTCTCCTCTGCTCGGGGGCCCTGTCCCACCGCGGCCCTGTCCCACCGCGGGCCTGTCCCACCGCGGGTGCCTATGCCACCGCGGGCCCTGTCCCACCGGGGGCCCTGTCCCACCGGGGACCCTGTCCCACCGCGGGCCCTGTCCCACCGGGAGCGCCTGTCCCACCGGGAGCGCCTGTCCCACCGGGAGCGCACAGACAGGAGGAGCTGCCTCTCTGCCCTCGGAGAGCCTGGGCCTCAGGCCGCCGTGTGGGAGTGTTGAGGTCACACCGTAAGGTGCTGCGCGAACATGCGAGGGCGTGTTTCCATGTCAGTCCGCACAGGCGCACCGCTGTCCCCGCCACACACGAGCTCCTGAGTGCCCTCCCCAAGCCCACGGGGCCTCGCAGGGAGCCGGCGGGCGTGCAGTGAGGCCATTAGCCACATAAATGACGCTTCCTAACGCCGCTCAGCAGCAGCGAAGTGACGCCCTGCCTCCTGGCCGGGGGCTGGAGCCGGCCCGTCTGGAGAGGCCGGTGGTGACGGGCACAGCTGCTGGAGGAAGGGGGCGGCCGTCAGAGCAGAGCCTGGGCTCACGGATGCCAGCCCGCATCCCAGGCCTTACCACAGGCAGGCCCGGGTGCCGCTGAATGGCCTCCCTGTGCTTGTTCTACCGTAAGCAACAAGGGGGGAAATACGAATGAAAAGGGTACAAAACAGTCTGGCTGGTCCCCACAATGATAAGCTTCCAAGTGACCAGCAAACCCACTCCTAGGGACACCCCAAGAGCAACGAACACACACTCGGCACCTGCACGGAGGGTCACCGCAGAGCTCGTTACAGAGAGCCAGTGGCCGCCGGTGGATGCACGGGTAAGCAAAACGTTCTGAGGACTTACTTCTCCAGGAAAAGGAATGAGGCACTGATGTGCTGGTGGGCCTCAAAACCACCATGCTAAACCCTGAAAGCCAGACACAAAAACGGCCACACTGTGTGACTCCAGGACAGGCAAACTCAGAGGCAGAAAATAGGTTAGCCCAGCGGTTGAGCAGCAACCTATGAACCAGGAGGTCACATGACTCCCAGTCAGGGCACATGCCTGGGTTGCAGGATCGATCCCCAGTAAGGGGGTGTACAGGAGAAAGCAAATCAATGATACTCATCATTAATGTTTCTCTCTCCCCCTTCCTCGCTGTAATCACTGAAATATAAATATACATATATCCTCCTATATAATAAAGAGTGAATATGCAAATGGTCATCTTCACGGCTCAGACACTCAACACCTGGGAGAGGAATGGGGACCGGCCAGGCTGGGCCCGGAAGAGGAACAAGCTGCCCGCCCCACAGTCCTGGGTGCCTGAGGCTGCAGCCGGGTAAAGCCGGCCTGGGTCCTGGATGCCTGTGGCTGGCCAGAGGGAGGGAAGCCCAGGGCCTGGGTGCCTGTAACCAGCCAGAGGAGGGAATCCTGGGTCCTGGGTGCAGGGCGAGGCGGAGGTGGTTAGAGAAGATCAGACCAGCAGGGGAACAATTAGGGGCGATCAGGCTGGCAGGGGAGCAGTTAAGGGTGATCAGGCAGGCAAGCAGATGAGCAGTTAGGAGCCAGCAGTCCTGGATTGTGAGAGGCAGTCGGACATCCCTCGAAGGGTCCCGGATTGGAGAGGGTGCAGGCCAGGCTGAGGGACCCCCCTACACATACACCATGTGCACCAATTCCATGCGCCGGGCCTCTGGTATGCATATAAATAGGCTGATGGCTCCCTGGGGCTGCAGGTGGGGGTGGGGAAGGGAGTAAATGTCCTAACATTAACCGCGGTGCTGGTTGCACAGTCCTATGAATAGACTAACATCTGTTGCTTTATCCACCTACCTGGGGGACTCACATGTGTGCAGATGAGGTCTCAATAAAGCTATTATAAAATTACAGTGCCAATGAGCACCACAGGGCTGCCTGGGGGTAAATGAGTCCCTGCTTACAGTGAGGTCAGCGCACAGTCCACTCAGTGCTGTGAGCCACACACGGCTGCACAGCGGGGGGAGGGACTCCGAGGCGGCCTGAGCTGCTGCCGCAGGGCCCTCTGAGCCCCGGATGGGGACCTGCAAGTCAGGATTAGCACTATCGCCGTTTTGCAAATAGGGAAACTGAGGCACGGCGAGCTAGGTGGAAACAGCTTTAGCCAGACCATGCTTCTGCCTCTTGGCCGCGTTGCTTTCTCATCTTGGAAATGAGAGAGTTTAACCCCACCAGAGCACGCCAAGGCGGTCCCGTCACACTCGGAGGCCTCCGGGTTCTGGGCTCCTCCCCGCACTGCACTCCCACCACCACCTGCACCTGCGTTCCTCCTCTACCCCAGGTCCCACATACCTGGAACAGATAGAGCTTCTCTGCCAGACTCTTGGCCAAGTACACGTCGACCTGGGGAGAGGGAGAAGACTCAGCCGGGACTCAGACCAGGGCCTGCCCCCTGCTGTGCGCGGGACAGCGGCCCCGGCTGGAGGGAGAGCTCAGCTGCTGCTAACACCAAGGGAACCGGCCCGGCCTCCGGCTCCCAGGGGCCCTCCCCAGGATCACTGTAACCAGCGAACCCTCCTCCCTGTGCGGGAGGAGCAGTCCTGGAGGAGACACAGAGGGGAGGGCGCCTCCCGCCGCCCAGCATGGTCCGCCAGCGCCCGGCCTACACTGAGGTGGCCTGCGAGTCCCTCGGGAGACGGCCTGGCCCAGCTTTCCTTCCTCTGACACTCACCTCCCTGCCCGCCACGGCCTGCCTGCCCCACCTCCTCCTCACAGGAGCCACGGGCGCGAGGACCAGGGAGGGCCAGGGGGCCCAGGGGAGGCACCGTGAGGGCCTTCTCCTGCGGAGCCCAGGGTTCCAGTGTGTCCCGATCGATCGGGCACTGACACGGCCGCCCACCGTCTGCTCCGGAGCCCCGCCTGCCAGTGTCTCCGGGCGCCCCTCCTCCGAGGCGCCCAGGGGATCCGGGAAATAGCCCTGAGTGGAGTGAGGGGAGCCTCCGACCCATTCCCTCCGTCATCGTGTCCACGGACCTGCACCTGGCTGTGGGGACACGGTGAACAGAATGAACTGCTCTGCTTTCGTCCGGCCGGCGCGGCTCAGTGGCTGAGCACTGACCTGTGAACCAGGAGGTCATGGTTCAACGTCCAGTCAGGGCACAGCTGGGATGGGGGCTCCATTCCCAGTGTGGGTGTGCAGGGGGCAGCCAATCAGTGACTCTCATCACTGATGTTTCTCTCTCTCCTTCTCCCTTCCTCTCTATTTTTTTTAATTTTTTTTTTTAGTATATTTTATTTATTTTCCACAGAGAGGAAGGGAGAGAGATAGAGAGCTAGAAACGTCAATGAGAGAGAAACATCGACCAGTTGCCTCCTGCACATCCCCTATGGGGATGTGCCCGCAACCAAGGTACATGCCCTTGACCTGAATCGAACCTGGGACCTTTCAGTCTGCAGACCGACGCTCTGTCCACCAAGCCAAACCGGTTTCGGCCATTCCTCTCTACATTTAATGAAAATATTCTTCTCAATAAAAATGTTAAAAAAAAAAACAAAAACATAAAATTCTACTTTCTCCAAGCTTCCATCCTGCAGAAGGAGTTAAGTCCAGGGCTCAGTGCTGTGGCCAAGAACAAGGCGAGGCCGAGGGAAGGGGCAGAGGGCTGGGCTGAGGGCGGTGGCGGGAGAGGCCACACTCACAGGTGGTCCGGAGACGCACAGAGGCCTGGAGGGTGAGGGCAGCCAGGCAGGTGGCGGGAAGAGGGTCCCAGGCTGGCTGAGGATGGGCGGGCACAGGGCTTACCTCCTGCACGACTGGGTCATCCTCTTCATTGGCCATACTAGGGGGGAGCCAGCCGAAGGTCCTCAGACTCAACCTGTAGGGAGAGCGAAGGCCCGACCTGTCAGTCGCTGTCCAGCCGACACTCCACTGAGCCCGCACCCCCAGGCCCGGCCCCCCCCCCCCCCCCCGCCCAGGCCCGCTCCCCCACAGGCCCGCTTCCCCAATCCCGCTCCCCCCCCCCATCCCGCTCCCCCACTACCCCCCCCCCGAGCCCGCTCCCCCACTACCCGCCCCCCCGGGCCCGCTCTCCCCCGATCCCGCTCCCCCACTACCCCCCCCCCCCGCTCCCCCACTACCCCCCCCCGAGCCCGCTCCCCCACTACCCCCCCCCGAGCCCGCTCCCCCGATCCCGCTCCCCCACTAACCCCCCCCCCCGGGCCCGCTCTCCCCCGATCCCGCTCCCCCACTACCCCCCCCCCAGCCCGCTTCCCCAATCCCGCTCCCCCACTACCCCCCCCCAGCCCGCTCCCCCGATCCCGCTCCCCCACTACCCCCCCCCCCGGGCCCGCTCCCCCGGTCCCACTCCCCCCGGCCCGCTCCCCCCGGCCCGCTCCCCCGATCACCCCCCCCCGGGCCCGCTCCCCCACTACCCCTCCCCCCCCCCCGGGCCCGCTCCCCCGATCCCGCTCCCCCACTACCCCCCCCCCGGGCCCGCTCCCCCGATCCCGCTCCCCCGGGCCCACTCCCCCACGGGCCCGCTTCCCCAATCCCGCTCCCCCCGAGCCCGCTCCCCCGATCCCGCTCCCCCGGGCCCGCTCCCCCCCACAGCCCCTGGCCCACTCCCCCCCCCACCCCCCGTCCCCGCTCTCCCCCGATCCCGCCCCCCCAATCCCACTCCCCCCGGGCCCGCTCCCCCGGGCCCGCTCCCCCAATCCCGCTCCCCCAATCCCGCTCCCCCCGGGCCTGCTCCCCCAATCCCGCTCCCCCACTACCCCCCCCCGGCCCGCTTCCCCCCTACCCCCCACCGCCCCCCCCATCCCCGCTCTCCCCCAATCCCGCTCCCCCCGGGCCCGCTCCCCCAATCCCGCTTCCCCAATCCCGCTCCCCCCGGGCCTGCTCCCCCAATCCCGCTCCCCCGATCCCGCTCCCCCACTACCCCCCCCCGGCCCGCTTCCCCCCTACCCCCCACCGCCCCCCCCCATCCCCGCTCTCCCCCGCTCCCGCTCCCCCGATCCCGCTCCCCCACTACCCCCCCCCGATCCCGCTCCCCCGATCCCGCTCCCCCACTACCGCCCCCCGGCCCGCTTCCCCCCTACCCCCCACCCCCCCCCATCCCCGCTCTCCCCCGATCCCGCTCCCCCGATCCCACTCCCCCACTACCCCCCCCCGATCCCGCTTCCCCAATCCCGCTCCCCCCGAGCCCGCTCCCCCGATCCCGCTCCCCCGTCCCCGCTCCCCCCCACAGCCCCTGGCCCACTCCCCCCCCCCCCCCCGTCCCCGCTCTCCCCCGATCCCGCCCCCCCAATCCCACTCCCCCGGTCCCGCTCCCCCCGGGCCTGCTCCCCCAATCCCGCTCCCCCGGGCCCGCTCCCCCGATCCCGCTCCCCCACTACACCCCCCCGGCCCGCTTCCCCCCTACCCCCCACTACCCCCCCCATCCCGCTTCCCCGCTCCCCCCCCCGTCCCCGCTCCCCCCCCCGTCCCCGCTCCCCCCCCCTTGACCCGCTCCCCCCCCGTCCCCGCTCTCCCCCAGGCCGCTCCCCCGAGCCCTTCGGTGGAAGATGCTGCTCTGGAGGGAGGAGCCCGAGACAATCACAAGTCGATCTTCTTTCTACATGTGCCCTGGAGTCAGCAATGGATGGCCAACTCTGCAATCCCTCCCTCGGCACCCAAAGGAGAGACGCCAGGCCGGGGCGCAGGCGGGGTGGGAGCCCCTGTGGGGAGGGATGACACCGCCATCAGGCAGGAGAGCGGGTGGCGGAGCCACAGCCGTGACTGCGCACGCGGGAACTCACTGGATCATGGGGAGGTTTTAAAACATTCAGAGAGAAAGGATCCAAGATGGCCGCACAGGTAAACACCTAGCCGCAGCCGCACACAACGCCAATAAAATACAACTAAAATATAAAATGGACATTACCCAGAACTACAGGAAAGTCGAATGAGTGGAAATTCTACAACGAGAAGGAAAGAGAAAACCAGAAGGAAGCGCGGAGGAGCTGTAAAAGCCTAAGGTACGGAGACACGGTGTGTGCGGAGAGGACGGAGCCGGAGAGGAGGGGAGGCTCAGTGCCTGGCTGGCGTTCCCTAGCAGGAAGGAGATAAAAGCTCCGATTGTACCGAACCCCAGACCTAACAGCGCTGAACCCCAGTTCTAGGCCAGACCCTGGGGACCCAGGCTCATACAGAGGGAGCCTGGGCTGTGAGGCAGAATCCCAGGGGAGCGGCGAAAGGCAGAGCCCCGGAGGAGCGCACATTGCGCACAGAGGACTGACTGTTGACTCTGCTGCCAGATTGCCCTGGCGGGAAGGAGACAAAGGCTCCGGGCTGTGCTGAGCCCCACTTCCGACTGCTCTGAACTCCAGTTCTGGGCAAGATCCTGGAGGGGGCTTGGGCTGTAAGGCGGAACCCGGGGGAGCGGAGAAAGGAAGTCCTGGAGGCGCGCACATTCTCAGCCAACCAGAGAACGGTTGGCTGTGCCGCGGATTGCCCAGGCCGGAAGGAGACAAAAGCTCCAGACTGCTCTTAACCCCATTCCCAATCCCACTTCCAACTGAACTGAACCCCAGTTCTGGACTCATTGGGGGAGAGACTAGACTGTTTGATAGCAGGCGAAACTCGAGGGCACCTCACTCTCAGAGGTGCTTGCAGCGAGGACCAAGGGACCCTGAGGAACACTGAGACCCAGGAGCCGCATAGGGCGTGGCTGACGAAAGCCAAGGCTGTAGGCTCCACCCTGAAACTCCGCCCCATCCAAGCAGAACACAGAGACTTTTAAGGCTACCAACTCAGGGAAGCTGCGAAAATGCCGAGACAAGGAAATAGATCACAAACGAGAGTACCGATTGGAGGAGAAACCAAGAGAGCAGAGTGGGTGAGCAGCTGGTGTGCCGCTCCCACAACAATTTGAAGATTGAAATAGTATGAGGGACATCTATCATCCAGGACCACAGGAGGGAGGTACTGGGTGGTTGATAGTCAGCAATTAACGTGATGGTAGGAGCAGTGAGGGACCGATGGGCTCTTGGAATGTGACCAGCTGGAGAGATGGAAGAATGGCGGGCTGGAGTGGCCAGGCCCAGAGCAGCCAGGCCCAGAGCAGCCAATCCTGGAGCAGCCAGGCCCGGAGCAGCCAGGCCAGGAGCGTTGTGGGGTGGAACCCTGTGTTAAAAATGAAAGGAAAGAAGGAGCAATGCAGCCAATTCGGGTGCCAGAGTGTTAGGTCCGTCATCACAATGGACTCAGAGAAGCTCCTGTGTCCCTTCACCCAAAAGGACTGAGAGTTGCCCAGACGACAGCAAAGTGGGAGAAGAAAACTGAAGGCTACCCAAGGGACTGAGGTGCCAACATGGAGTCATCTGAAGAAATTAAAGACTGAAGTGGAAGCTGCTTCTTTAATCATGTTTCTGCTCATGCTAGCATCTGTTAGCTTCCAGTCTTCTGCAAAGTCTTGTGCAGCAAATCCAAGAACTCTGAGTAAATCTATTAATATATCCCAAGAAACTAGAAACACCAATCAGAAAGGATATATGCACCCCTATGTTCATAGCAGCACAATATACAATAGCTAGAATTTGGAAACAGCCTAGTGCCCTTCAGCAGATGATTGGATCCAAAAACTATGGTACATCTACACAATGGAATACTATGCTGCCATAAAAAAGAAGGAATTCTCATCATTTGCAGCAATCTGGATGGAATTGGAGAACATCATGCTGAGTGAAATAAGCCAGTCAATGAAAGAGAAACACATGGCCTCACTCATTTCTGAATAAAGGACATTATAAACTGATGAACCAAAAGATAGATATAGAGACAGTAAAGCAACAAGCAGACTGTCAAAGTACAGCGGGGAGGGTAGGGAGATCTGGGGGAGATAATAGATCAACCGAAGGACTTGTATACATGCATATAAGTACAACCAATGGACACAAAACTCTGGGGAGGGAGGGTATGAGGGGGGGGGCAATGTTAAAATATGTACACAAATAATAATTTAATTTAAAAAATGTTTTAAAAAAATAAGGAGCTTACCCAGATTTTGATGAATGGGATCTGGGCACACCCGAAACTCCTTTTGACCTTAAGCTCTCCTTTGGAAGCCAATAAAAATAAATAAATAAGTAAAAATAAAATAAAAGAAGGGAAAAGAAAAAGAGAAAATGAATTCCTTAGGAACCCAGCGTGGGATCAGGGCCCAGCCTGGGAGGCAGAGAGCAGAGCTGAGTTAGCACTGTCCAGCACCACCCGCGCTGGGTACACGTGCAGAAAGTGGCCCAGCACCAAGCGGGGGCCAGCGGGAGGGGCTCTGCCTATTACAGTGCAGCCAGGATCTCTGCAGAGCCAACTGCAGGAGCCAACAGGGAACTCTGTGGCAAAAACCCTTTAGATGAGAAAGACTCTATAAAACCCAGTAGTAGGTGGGGGAGATAAGAGATCAACCGAAGGACCTGTATGCATGCATATAAGCATAACCAATGGCCTCAAGACACTGGGGGGTAAGGGCATATATGGGAAGGGGGGGGGATGGGAAGATATGTACACATGTAATACCGTAATTTAAAAAATTGAAAAAATTAAATAAAATAAAAGATCCACTTTTTTGAAAAAATAAATAAATAAAAATAAATAAATAAAACATTCAGAGAATTCTGGTCCAATCAAAGCAACAGTAATGCTCCCCTGCTTCCGTGGCCACATTACAATTACAACTGATGACAGAACCCCCACGTTTAAAACCATCCGAAAGCTAGCTGAGCACAGCTCCCACGACTGAGGGGGAGGGGGAGGGGAGGGGAGGGGGAGGGGAGGGGGAGGGGGAGGGGGGGGGGGGGAGGGGGAGGGGAGGGTGAGGGTGAGTGTGAGGATAAAGGTGAGGGTGAGGGTGAGGGTGAGGGGAGGGTGAGGGGGAGGGTGAGGGGAGGGGGAGGGTGAAGGGAGGGTGAGAGTGAGGGGAGGGTGAGGGTGAGTGTGAGGATAAAGGTGAGGGTGAGGGTGAGGGTGAGGATGAGGATAAAGATGAGGGTGAGGGTGAGGGTGAGGATGAGGATAAAGGTGAGGGTGAGGGTGAGGGTGAGGGTGAGGATGAGGATAAAGGTGAGGGTGAGGGTGAGGGTGAGGGTGAGGGTGAGGATGAGGATAAAGGTGAGGGTGAGGGTGAGGGTGAGGGTGAGGATGAGGATAAAGGTGAGGGTGAGGGTGAGGGTGAGGGTGAGGATGAGGATGAGGATGAAGATGAGGGTGAGGGTGAGGATAAAGGTGAGGGTGAGGGTGAGGGTGAGGGGAGGGGGAGAGGAAGGAGGGGAAGAGGGAGGGTGAAGGGAGGGGGAGGGGGCGGGTGAAGGGAGGGGGAGGGGGAGAGTGAGGGGAAGGTGAGGGTGAGGGTGAGGGTGAGGGTGAGGGGAGGGGGAGAGGAAGGAGGGGAAGAGGGAGGGTGAAGGGAGGGGGAGGGGGCGGGTGAAGGGAGGGGGAGGGGGAGAGTGAGGGGAAGGTGAGGGTGAGGGTGAGGGTGAGGGTGAGGGTGAGGATAAAGGTGAGGGTGAGGGTGAGTGTGAGGATGAGGGTGAGGATAAAGGTGAGGGTGAGGGTGAGGGTGAGGGTGAGGGGAGGGGGAGAGGAAGGAGGGGAAGAGGGAGGGTGAAGGGAGGGGGAGGGGGAGGGTGAAGGGAGGGGGAGGGTGAGAGTGAGGGGAAGGTAAGGGTGAGGGTGAGGATAAAGGTGAGGGTGAGGGTAAGGGTGAGTGTGAGGATGAGGATGAGGATGAGGGTGAGGACTAGAACAGCAGAGCTGGTGGCGGCCAAAGGAATAAAGGCAATTGGTTGCAAGATAACAGACAGTTTAGAGGTAGGGACAGCAGATGGGGGTGGCCAAGCGACAACCGATCCAATCGATGGCACGGACCACCCTGGGGTAACAACTACCAGCAGCACAGACAAGAACCGTACCTCCCTCGCCAGTATGGAAATTATGGCTACAGCCAGCAGCCTCCCCATGGTTACTACTGAGGGAAACCTCAGCAGCTTTTACTGAAACTGTGTCCTTTGTTAGCAAGACAAACATTTGTGTGTATTTTCTGTTGGTCATCATTTTGCATCTGACTTTAGAAAATAATTTTTTTTTCAACTTGAGACATTTTTAAAAAATAAGATCTTTCTGGAGTGGTGGGATGGTTGCTGGGAATAAACACCTCCCTTAAAAAAAAAATGCTGGCTAATATCCCAAGTGGACTTTACATCCCTCTAATAGTCTTGACCTGCAGTGTGAAAAGTGCTGCTTCAGCCAGTTTTCCTGAGGTCCCTCCTCCCTCCCTCCATTCTCCTGGAAGCAGCCAGAGTTGTCCTCGTAAGAAAGCAAGCCACAGCATCCTACTCCGACAGCCCTGAGCTGCCACATCGAACAAATCCAAACTCCCTGCGTGACCTCACCCCGCCTTTCACCACCCACTCGCTGGACCTGCACCCCAGCTGCCTCGGGACCTTTGCACAGCACTGTTCCTGGGCCTCTTCGGCCTGGCTCCTCTCCGTTAGGTGTCACACCACCTCTTCCAGAACCAGGTTCTCTGACCACCCACCTCACAGCATCCCACCCCAAATCCCTTCCCAGTCACCCCATCTCCCTGTTCCACTTCCGCTGTGCTTCTTCTCACAACCCGGAACTACCGAGTCTACTTGCTTATGTGTCCGCTGTCTTTCGCACTGGACAATAAGCTCCACCAGGGTCTCTCAGTGAAGATAATCACATTTATTTAATCGTTGTGACATTTATTTAATCTCTCTCTATATATATATTTTTTCTTTGTATTGTAATTGCAATACAAAGAATAAATGAGTGAATGAGTACATGAAATCAGGTGTCATAAAACCTCAACCCGGTGAGCCCAACTCGGCCCCAGCACACTTGAGAACAGACAGGGGCTGTGACCGGGAGGGAGCAGGCTTCCAGCCACGGGCAAAGACCAGCTGTGCCACATCAGCAGTGGCCACGGCGCCTCCACAGGAGACTCCACAGGAGACTGCCCCCAACGGTGAGCGGCTGGGCAAATGAAAAGGGACAGGGACCCGGGTGGAGCTAAGAGGGGATCCAGAGCTGAGGAGGTACCCAAAGGCCAGCCATGGGTGTACCATGCTGCACCCAGGAATCTCACCTGTCAGCCAATCAGAAAAGCAGAAGCAATTTCAAAAGCTCTCCAGCTGCCGAAGGGAGAGGGAGAGGGGTCTGAGGGGAAAGACAATAGGGTGAAGGGGAAGGAGCCCAGGGCAAGGCCCAGGCCTGGCTTCTATCATAGTTGGCTCTACACCCTCAGAACAAGGCTCTCCCTTTTCGGAGTCCCTGGCTTCACGGTGAAAGGCAGTTGGGCTCCGGGCCGAGAACTAAGACCCTGGCCAGGTAGCTGATCCCGGCAGGTGAGAGCCTGGTCCTATGCACCAACATACACTGAGTGCACGAGTAAGTGGAACACAAATCCACACTTTTTTCTTTCTCTCCTTCTCTTCCTGCCCCTTCTCTAATACCAATAAAATAAAATTTTTTAAAGAATTAGCCCTATTCTCATTTCATTTCCTCAATAAGTACAGATTTATCACCTCCAAAAAATAAAGGAGTAAACTGAGGCTCAGGGAGTAGCTTGCCAAGGTCACGGCGCTGGGGAACGGCAGCCAGGGTCTGGCTGATGTCGAAGAGCCTTCCTCTCATTCTTACCCGCTGCTCCGCTCTCTCCCTGCGAGCAGGCGGCGTGGCACAATGGCCAAGGGCCTGGACTCCCGAGCCCAACTGCGCGGGTTCAAGGCCCGCGTCCGCGGCCCAGCACCGCGGGGAGCGGCCCGGGCGGGGGCTCCCCTTTTCATCCCGGAGGCCGCGCCGAGGGCTCCGCGCTGTGACGGGGACGTGTCCACCGGGCGCCGTTTTCTCCACCGTCCGAGGGTCTGACCCGGCAGCGCGTCCCGAGCCGGCCTCGCGGCCCCACCCGCCCTCACCACCCCCGGTTTTCTGGCTCCCAGCCCCACTGCACAGATGACCGGGAGCCCCGGGACGCCGGCCTCCTGCCCCACGCCGCTCCGGGGCACGCAGACCGGGGCCGCCATGCTGAGGCCCGGCCGGGCCGGGCTCCCCGGGAACGCCGGGCAGGCGCAGGGGGCGGCCCGCGGCAGCAGCCCGGCACCCCGCCATCGGCCCAATGGTCCCCGCCCTCCGGCGGCCAGACCCGCGCAGCCGCCGCCACGCCGGGGCTCGGCTGCCCGGACAGGCGCTCGGCCTGAGTCACCGCCGGCGCCGCGGCCTCCGGGCTCCCGGGCGGAGGGCGGAGAGCGCGGCCGGCGGGTCCCGAAGCGGGCTGCTCCTCCCGCCCCGCACCCGCGGCCTCGGGCTCCCCGCGGCCCAGGCCGCCCCGCCGCGGGCAGGCGGGCAGCTCGGGGGCGCCGGCCTCGGCACTCACCTCCACGAGGCCGCGGGCGGCGGCGGCGGCCCAGGCTCCCGGGGGCTTCAGAGCGGCGGCGCCGGCTCCCAGCTCAGGCGGCGGCCATGTTGTTGCTGGAGAAACTCCGGCGGACACGTGGGGGGAGCGAGGCCCGGCCTCGCACTTCCTCTTACCCACAATGCCGCTGGGGCCCGCCCCTCGCCGCCGCGTTCCCCGGGCCTCCACCTGCCGGCAGGGGGCGCACCGGCGCCCGCAAAACCGTGCTGCGAGGAGGGACAAAAGGACCTGTGTGGCAGCGGTGGGATTCGAACCCACGCCCCCGAAGAGACTGGAGCCTTAATCCAGCGCCTTAGACCGCTCGGCCACGCTACCCAGATGTTGGCTGGCCTCCCCAGAGGGCTCCTTAATGCATTTACAAGGAAGTACACCGCCCCTTCGCTGTGATGTGTGTTTTATCTGATCGTAAAAGAAATATTTAGAAAAACAATGTGACATTCCTCAAGCATTAAGAGCATAATTGCCATAGGATCCGGAAATTCCAGCTCTGGGAACGGGCCATGCATTCAGACGTTTGCTGGGACATGTAAGCCCAGACTGCAGAGCGAAAAGCGGTTCAGGATCCGCGTTCCGCGTGGGCCGCGCGGCCGGGCCCGGTTCTCCGGCCCGGACCCGGCGGGCTCCGCGGAGGAAGGCGGGCCCGGCGCAGCCCGCCCGCCCCGGGCTCGCAGGCCGGGCGGGTTAGCGCGCCAGTTACTGCAAATTGTTGGAACTTTGGGCCCCTCCGCAGAGGCGCCTTCATTACCAGCTTCTGTGTCCTTTTGCATCTTTTGCTGTGAATTTGGATACGGATGTATCTGAGGAAAATGGATGTTTTGTTTCCATTTTTTTGTTTTGTTTTGTTTTGTTTTGTTTTGAGTGTGGTTTTTGCATAAACATTTTCATACTGTTATCTGCAATTAACTAGTTTTTCACCCATTATTTTAACATACCTATCCATGTTGATGTATGTAGTTATTTAAAATACAGAAAAAAATACAAAGAAAAAATAATCATCCATATTCTCACCACCAATTATTTTCCTGTACTGTACTTTTTTTAAAAGTGACGTAGGGAATGGTATGAATATGTTGTCCTTTTAAAACTCCATTAAAAATTATCTTAGATCATTACAAATAAAAAGACCCCTTCCCCAGCACCCTCCCTGATTGTAACTACTATCATGAATTTGATGTGTATCCTTCCCAACCATTTCCTGTATTTATATATACCCATGAACAATGTATAGTAAGGTCTTTTAGATGTTTTTCCTTAACATAAATATTGCTATATTGCACCAATGTCATCCTGCATCTTGTTTTTCTACTCCACATTATGTTTTTGAGGTCTATTATGATACATATAGATCCAATTTATTCCATGCCATGAAAATGGACGTTTAAGTTGTTTATAATCAGCTGTTATATGCAAGAAAGACAAAATAATAAGGATGAGAAGGTGTTATATTCAAGTTTCTGGTTAATATCAAGTTGGCACACACCCAAACGTGGGCATTCCATTATTTCTCTCTTCAGTTCCTCTTTGAGCTATTTTATTTTCCATTAACCTTTACATAAGTTGATGTGCAAAGATTTCACTGTACGTGGAGAGTTTGTTGCTTTTATTTAAAGGAATTTTTTTAAGTACAGAAGCAGCATGTATGGGGGTACCTGCCAGGGATGTGGGAGGGAGAGGCGGGTGGTTAAAGCTAAATGAGGACTGACTGGTCCTTGAACAGCAGCACTGATCTAGTCATGGGGTTTAGTCCCCGAAGGACTGTGTTTATTTGGGAGCTGCATTCTGGGTTTTCTAAAAGGAAATATCAATTTTCAATAGTGAAAACAATTGCTGGAGTCTCTGCCCAATCCCATTTTCTAGGAATTCCTGACCAGCGGGGGTGGGTGCGTTCCTGACACCAGGGACAGAGAACTCAAGTCTAACCAATCAGACGCTCTGAGAATCTGACCGGAGACATCCTAAATTCCTGATGCGCTCATTTGACCATTTTGTTGGAATTAGTCTCTGAGACTGACTGGAACACCGGAGAAAGCGGGGTTTGGGGCGGCCACAGGCTGCGAGAGGGATTGGAGAAGGAGAGAGAGCTAGTGCGTGGAAAAGGAAGTTGATAAAATAAAAAGATCAAAGCCAGAGAAATCCAGTGGTTTTCTGGCTCCCAGCTCCAGGCCCTCCCCAGGGCTCAGAGGGAGTCACATGCTTGCAGACATCCCTTTATCATTATAATAAATTCCTCTTTGATGCTACAGCTGGTGGTACCTGGTAGCTGTCAACCTATCCCCTTGACACTAGAGATATTTCTGCCAGAATATTCTAGAGCAATTCAGGTCTGTCCCTACTAATGCATTCCGAATGGGATACTTAACAAGGAGTTTCTTACCGTCTTACAAGCTCCGTCATTACCAGACAGCTGTGTAATGGGGCTCAGCTTTAATTGGAAGACAAACAATCCAAATGAAAAATGAGCAAAGGACCTAAACAGACACTTCTCCAAAGTGGACATACAGGTGGCCAGGAGACATAAAAAAAAAAAAAAATGCTCAGAATCACTGAGCTTTGTTCCCCTTTCACACAGTCTGGTGACACTCCGATGGGAAGCCAATGAGCAGGAGGAGCAGAAGCAGCATCAGAACTCCTGCCCCACAGGCTCCCAGCAGCTTTTGGGGGGTGGGGCGCAACACCCTGCTGTCCCTCGGTGTGTCCACGTCTCTGCCCTTGGAGAGGAGGGGGGTGTGGAGGGAGCAAGCACCACAGATCCAACCCCGGCCACTTGTCCCGACCCCAGCCTCGGATGCCAAGAGAAGAGTCCCCATGCATAAGCCCTCAGCTGTGGGCAGTGAGGGGCCGGGGCTCAGTCCTGGATCCCCTCCATTCTTCACTCTCTTGTCCCCATAAAAGGGGTCTGAGGCCAAATCTCACTACATGAGTCTCCTTCTGGAAAGAAATGGACATGCCTGATAAAATGCTTAAGCATTTTTCTTGTGAGATTTAATAGCATTGAGATTTGTACCGGGAAACTAGTTCTCTGGCCACCGAGATGGCTGTTATTTGTCACATGAGAGTATAACGAACTGAAACTGGCCGTTCTTTTCTTGTCCGTTTTATTAATCACTCTCTTGTCCTATATAACGCTTCACCGTTGCTTCCACAGGAGCGGCCCCCCTGTGGGGGCGGGCGGGGGCTCTCTGCCCATGTTGGAAACCTCATCACGCTGCACACGCAGACCATGCAGTTACTTGGCCTGAGACTCACAGAAAATGGTTTTTAAAAACAATGTCCCCGCCGAGTGTGGATCCAGGTTGGTTGTGAACAGGCTCCTTCGGGCCTTTTCCTCTTCCTCACACAGGGAGCCCTCACTCTGCTCTGCTGTCTCTGCCTCTCCGGAAGCCTGTCCATTGCTGCTTCCAGTTCTGCCTTTCACCCAGGGAGCGCTCCTCTCTGCAGAACCCGGGAAGCTGTGGTGCCAGCACCATGGGGCGGCACAAAGCCCACACGTGGCCCACCGGAGGCTTCGGCCGGCCGGGCCTGGACACCAGTGCCTGAGCTGGAGGCAGGGCCCTGAGGACCCTCGCTGCTGTGCCTCCTGCCGCCTGGAGCTCCACACTCGCTCTGGCACCTCCATTTCCGATTCTTTCCGTTTCACCGTCCGTTCTGTAAACTCCTTCCTCCCCCAAATCGCTTCTTTGCTAAGTGAGCCAGCCTTGATTCCTGTACCCACAACCCAGGACCCTCTGGGCCTCCGGGCCTCCCCCAAAGGAACGCTGTGCTGACAGAGACACCGTGGCTGCCTGCAGAGCACACCCCGCCGCGGGTGACCAGCACCCCTTTGGCCTGGAGACAATGCTTAATAAGGGCAGAAACGAGCACTCTCTCTGGTCATCTGGGTCATCTAACAACTTGTCCACTCAAAGTTCCATCTCAGTGACAGACCTAGTGAGACCTGCTGATTCAGGCACAGCTCCATGGCTGGCAGCACACTGCGAACAGCTCCTTAAGTTCCAGCTTTGCAGACACACTGCCGGAGTCCCCGCAAGGTGCTGCTCGGCCACGGGACTAGCACACCAGTGGCATGATGTTGGAACGCTGATGAGATGTGACCTTTGAACCTCCACCTTCCTCTTTGATGAATGAAAGCGTTCTTGGCAAATGCTCCTCCTATGAGACCCCCGTTAGCCTCGTTTGCAAAATAGTCACAATAATGAGGCTTGCTGTAGAGTTAGAGATGACTATTTATGTCCAGCTCAATGTCTGACACACTGTCCGTCATTGTTTCTAAGGCACACATTTTCACATTTCAATATCTCTAAAATTGTTTTGCATTTTAGGATTAATGGCATATAATTTATTTTCATTTTTTATACATAAATTAATGGTGTTTTATTTATCCATGTTTTTAGATCAACTGTGTGTTTTTTATTTATTTACTTATTTTAAATATATTTTTATTGATTTCAGAGAGGGAGGGAGAGGGAGAAAGATAGAAACATTAATGATGAGAGAGGGTCATTGATCATCTGCCTCCTGCACACCCCTTACTGGGGATTGAGCCTAAAACCCAGGCATGTGCCCTTGACTGGAATCTAACCCAGGACCTTTCAGCCCACAGGCTGACATTCTGTTCACTGAGCCAAACCAGCTTGGGTCCCAGCACTAGTTATTAAAGAGACTGTCTTGACTCAGTGTATATTTTTGCCTCTTTTTCCAAATATTAATTAGCATAATGGCCTGAGCCGATTTCTGGGTCTCTTTTCTGTGTTTCCCCGAAAATAAGACCTAGCGCCTGGAAAGATAAGACATCCCCTGAAAATAAGACGTAGCGCAACTTTGGGAGAAAAAATTAATATAAGACACTGTCCTCTTTTCGGGGAATCAGGGTAATAGATGTCTGTTTCTGTGCCAGTACCAGGCTGTTTTGATTACAATGGCTTTGTAGTATAACTTGATATCTGTTTTGTGATCCCTGCAACTTTGTTTTTCTTTCTCGAGATTGCTGCAGCTATTCAGGGTCTTTTTTGCTTCCATATAAATTTTTGGAGTGTTTGTTCTAGATCTGTGAAATATGCCACTGGTATTTTAATAGGGGTTGCATTGAATCTATAGGTTGCCTTGGGTAGTA